TATTTCCGAGGCAAATACACTGAGAATGCAGTTTAATGTGTGAGGGTCTTTTAGATAGGACTTTAAAACAGATTTTAATTGCTTCATGTAGACACTTATGTTGCTATTGCATATCTTATATGCCATGGGGCTTGCCTAAAACTTCTTGCATGTGCCCTTCAATACACACACTCCACTTGATTGCCACTCTCTTCTCTGCAATCCATAGGTGGTGTATGAAAATGCTAGTTTTCATAAAGCACTTTGGGAACCATACGTTTGAAAAGCACCCATGTAAAATATTACCTACTGCTGGATTTGTATTAAGTAGCAAGCATCTATGAGATACATTGGTTGCCACAGAAGGAGCTCTGGTACACTGATTACTGCAGCAGACAGCATACAATACACAGACTTCCAGATAGCAATTTAGATGTAGCTTTGAATGATAGTTCATTTATCCACCCACTCATTTAAAATAAGACAATGCAACTTATTCAAAGCTTTGTGTGTACTTTTCTGGGAAGAAATGGTTGAGCAGGATCATTTGTTTCCCAAGATAAGTCTCCATAGCAAAAAGGAGTGTTTTTTTTAACTCACTTACTAACTTGTAGTAGCTAAATCAAGTTAAAACAGCAGTGTAGAAACATCAGTTCAGCTTTCAACTCAAGTTAGCAGCTTTAGTTGAAGTCTATAGGGAAGCTAGAGTTGAGCCCAAGCTACTAACCTAAATTAGGAGATGAATTGCTCTGTCTTCACCTCTGTTTTCATTCTGGTTAACTAACACTTTTTTGGAGCGGGAGGTGTAGTGAGGACATATTCTTAGATTAGTCTCTCCTTTGGGATTGTCCACAAGTCAGAGTCACAGTAGGGCTGTTTTTATTCTCCAGGAAAGGGTTTTACATTCCAAAAGCACAAAGTAAATGGTCTGAATCACAATGATTGTGTGTTTCCTGATGTGTTGGACACCTTCTAAGAGTTACATTTAACAGGAGGAATTTGGGGCTAGATTGTGCATCTTGTGCACTGCGAGTGAAAGGCACTACTTGGCTGCACCAGTTCTGGAGGCATTGTATCTCAGAGGAAAAATTCCTCCTGGGCACCTTGGTTGTGCTCTATGTCAGTGATAGGGATGTGGGCATTCCAGCCTAATGGCTAGATTCAGCATCACACTCATGGGTCAGAGCTGACATCTGAGTCCAGGTGAATGACAGAGCTGAGGGTCAGAACTGGGTTATCTGGAGTGGGACACAGTCACACACCAGTTTTGAGCAGCCCCTGAGCTTCTGCTGCTGGGCTCAAGAGCCAGTCTGCTGACTCTTCACATTAGTCAGGCAGTATAGCTAGTCAGGCTACCTATTCCAGGTCAGCGATGCCCCTTGGCCACCATTTTTTCGTTGCAGGCTCTGCTTGCAGACTGAGGACCCTGCAGGCCCTGATTCCTGACAGTGTGTGTGTGGGGGGCGGGGGGGAGTTGCGGGGGGTAATTTCCTACTGCCTTTATCGAGCTGCAGTTTATTCCTTCCCGTCCCATTGGGCCAGACTACTGCTAGCCAAATCCTTTCTCACTCCCTTGGGAATTATATGGAAAATGACCTCAGCACTCTCTTGAAGACCCAATGCTGAGATCTTGCCAGCCATAGAGAAAAGGATCCTACACCTCTGTTTCTCATGTGTGGCCTCATTAAGGTTAGTCATAATCTATCCCTTAGCTGCTATAAAGTTGAATGGCTTTAGCCTTCTTTGACCACATCACATAAGCATTTCAGAATGGGCTCTGCAATACTGTAGAGCAAAAAGGGGGAAGAAGCCTTAAATTTTTTTCAGAAACCAAAGAATACTTTTCTGTCATGTACTTCAGTAAACAGAGGGGCTTTTACTGGAGAAGAATTGAGTTCATGACAAACATTAACCTCGAAAGGCTACTGATAATTAACATTACATGATATAATGATTGGTCGATAGATCTCAAGCTGCTTTTAAATAATGAACATGTTTGGGGGAGGGGAAGGAATGGTATTTTATCCAATAACCCAGTGTTCTAATAAATTCTGGAGCAAGGCGCTTGAATAAAATTTACATGATGAATGCCATTGCTGTGGGGGACAGATGAGTTGGCGTTAAATCTCTTGGAAGGACAGATTAAATTTCACCTTGGGTCATATGGCTGACACTGCTGTTCTACAACATTAGAGTCAGGGATTGTTACTGTATATTTTAATATATGGGTTATATAATTCTCCTGCAGATGAGGAATTTAGGGTGTATTTACATGGAGATAAAGGTTTACTCTGGAATGTTATCCCATCTGTGGATACAATACAAGGTGTTTCAGAACTAGTAACAAGTTCTTTAATAAATACAGCATTTTCCTAATGCTTTGTTTTAGCTTCCTTTGGCTCTCCCAACAAAGGATATATACGAGTTTTAGATAGGTAGATGCTCCATATTTAAAAATAATGTGTACAGATTTCAAGGGAGGAAAGAGGAAAGCTCCTTGCTTTCCTTTGGAGGTACTGTAATACAGAGTCTCCAGTACTTTGTATGCTTACTCATATAACAAATTTGAAGTGTACCTAGTTTATCTCTTGCTCAAGTATATGTGTGTGTATAAGCAACATTGTACACATGAGGTGTGTCTAGACTACAGGGTTTTGTTGACAAAAGTGCACTTTTGTCAACAAAACCCTGTAGTCTAGACACACCTCATGTGTACAATGTTGCTTATACACGGACCCAATGCTGAGATCTTGCCACTGAGTTCTGTTGACATACAGCAGTTCTACAAGGAATAACCTCATTCAAACCTCATTCTATGAGGAATAACGCCTTTTGTCAACAGAGTTCTGACGACAGAAGGCTTTATTGCATCTACACTGTCCTTTGCGTCTACACTGTCATGTCAACAAAGCAGCTTGCTTTGTCGACAGAACTGGATGTAGTCTAGACGCTCTTTGTCGACAGAAGCTTTGTCAACAGTATCTGTCGACAAAACTTCTGTCGACAAAAGCCTGTAGTCTAGACGTACCCATGGTGTTGTCTTGATAAACTATGAACCAAGATCAGTCTGTTGCAATCAGAAATCAAATACAGATTTGAGTATATAGAAAATACCCCTCTTTTGACTGATCATGTACTTTTGGGGCTGATTTTTCTGCTTCCCCAAATAATTTCCATCTCAGAGTTCTTCATTGGCAGATTCCTGTGAAAGGCGAGGGAGGGGAACATTTCCTGGATAGAATAGGCTTGGAGCCATACTGCACTTTCAGTGACTGCCATCACGACAATGTTTGCTCCCTATCAGTGTGTGAAAGAATGCTGCCAAATCTAGTTGCCTGTCATTACCTTGACTAACCCCATAACCAAAGACCCACCACAGTTATATCAAGTCAAATCCTTGGGGGAATGCAAATTGAACAGCACTGCAATAAAGGGAAATTTACCCTGGCATGTTGAGTTGCTTTTCTGGCCTTGGGGTTTCCACTCAATAATATAATAGTGCTAATAATGTTACTGCAGTGTGATTGCATTGCTAACATTTTTTTAAGAATAGAACTGAAAAAAATATTTTAAGGACTCAGTTTTGAAGCAATGGTTTACCATTGATGTGTGTAACATCTACCCTCAGGTGCAAACACTATAATCTCCACAAATTTAAAGGTGAGGAGAATAAAAAGGTAGGGCAGGACTTGGTCTAGACTGAACCTCTAGACCTTTGATTTCTTGAACTTAAACATAATAGTTCTGTAATAATATTCACTTGCATTAATTGGAACCTTTTCTGTATATTTTTTACCCATACATCACAGTGCCTCACTTTAAGTGTGAGTCAAAGCCATAACATTTAAGGAAGGTAAGCCCTTTACTTCCATCAGAAATGTGAAAAGTGATGTGATACAAGGTGTTAATGTAACCCACTTACCTACGAGGTGGAATGTACTGTCCCACGCAGTGGCACTTAGACCACTTGCAGAGAGAAAGAATGAGGGTGTTCTACAGAGCACCAGCCAGCTGAGCCAGCTGTTGAGAGCCAGCTGGCTTTTAGCACTGTAGGGACACTGAGTTCCAGAGATTCCAGGTTCAGTTCCGCATGGTGGCATTGTATTAGCATTCACTGTGTGATAAAGCTGTGCAAGTGGTAGTGACCACGTGGTGGTTGGCACAGGAATATTTGATGAGGATGAAATGCTCCTTTCTTGGAACATCTAGAATAGCTAGATTAAGAGGGAAATAATTAATGTTGTGAACAGAATGTTTAATAATCTTTAAGCAATTATTTCATTTCTTTTTGTTTGACTTTACAGCGGCTCACATTGCGGCATGTCAACAGCAACCAGTGTCTTGATGAGCCGTCTGAGGAGGACAAAATGGTTCCAACCATGAAGGACTGCAATGAAAGTCGATCTCAACAGTGGTTGCTACGTAACATGACCTTGGGTGCCTAAATGAGACTTCCCATGTTCTTTCAGGCCTTGCAAGGTGTCTAGGCTTTCATTCTTCACTTATCTAAATCAGAAGAAAGGATATTCCTTCTCCTTTCTTTGTTCTTGGTGAACTGAAAGGCCTTGAAGCCCTCTGAGAAGTCCAGCTGTCAGAACAAAGTCATTTGTTTTTTTGCTTGTTATGGCATGCTTGCACATGCCTCTTTGAAAGCTGTGTCCATTCAAAAGAAGCACATTAGAAGCTATAAATAGCATACTATCTGCTACTATCAATGCCAGATACATTTGGAAAAGTATATCCAGAAAAACCTTGGAGCCTAATATCAAAAGGTTTTTTTGGGGGGAAAGGAGGAGGGTGTTTCTGGTTATGTCACATAATGTTGCTTGGAAGTGACATGATGAAAATGCCTTATGACACAAACTTATATTGTGAAAGATTTATAAATTTAATAAATTTGTTCTGGTCCTCCATAGCAACACGGTGAGAATATTTTTTGCTATATTGTGTCATTTAGTACTCAATGAAGGATTAAACTGAAATGGATACCGAGCAGTACATTTACTGTACATAACGAATGTTTCATTTGTTGTGCCAGGAACAATGAAGTTGCTATACATAGCAGTTCTTTTAAAAATAGCAAAACTGAACAAAGAATGCGGTAAAAACGGAAACTGTATAACAAATGAAACTTCAATAAAAGACATTTGAATGATATTAAGAAGTAGGCAACTTACATGACTAACCCAGATTAATGCAAATTGGTATTACCCATGATTTCTGTACAGTCAGAATAGAAATCACTATGGGCCTCATTTACCAGTGTGCACCTCCATTAACCCTAAATGGTTGCATGGGTGGAGAATGGAACTGATCGAAGAATTTGGCCGAGTGAAAAGCTAGTCTGAAGCTCAATCTGTAGCCCCTAGTTTTGAGCATAAGTGTAGCAGCAGACTGTCTAATGTATACAAGGGCATCCAAAGTTTGGAGATCTTTGCAATATCAGAGCATAAAGGGACAGGCTAAGGATGGAGTTTGAGCTCTAACTCAGAACTTTCTTGCTTTCATATGTTTATGATAGATGCTTATTTATATTTTTAAATAATAGTTTGTGTCTTAATTTCTTTTGTTCTTTTTCTTAACATGAGTATTAAAAATGTGCTGCTGATGTGCTGTAGTCTTCATAGGCTTCATAGGAACCAATGCCATATCAACAACACAGTAAGAGTTTGCAAAAATGTTTTGTGTTGTTTTCCTACATATTCATAACACACATTTGAGCTAATCCACCAGCGCATATCACCACATAATGGGTCTCCTATAGAAATGCTGTGGCTAGACTTTGAGCAATAGGCTTAATCATAGAATACTAGAATTGGAAAGGATCTCGAGAGGTCCAGTCCCCTACCTTCACAACAGGACCAAGAACTGTCTAGATCATCCCTGACAGGTGTCTGTCTAACCTGCTCTTAAATATATCCAGTAATGGAGATTCTAAAACCCCCTTAAGCAATTTATTCCAGTGTTTAACCCCTCTGACAGGCAAGAAGTTTTTCCTGATGTCCAACCTAAATATCTCTTGCTGCAATTTAAGCCCATTGCTTCTTGTCCTATCCTCAGGGGCCAACGAGAACAATTGTTCTCCCTCCTTATAACAGCCTTTTAAATACTTGAAAACAGCTAGTCCTCTCTCAGTCCTCTCTGTTCTAAACTAATCAAGCCCAGTTCTTAATGTATGTCATTTGCCCAGGGGCATAGGAGTCCTGTGAGATCCCAGTACAACAGAACCAGTACCACAGAAGGGCTGCTGAGCAACATGAGAAACATCCTACCCAGGGGATAGATCCTATCTCTACCAACCACCCACAGTTTATCAAACAAAACCTGTTGCATTATTAGGAGCAGGAAGGTGAAACAGACTTCATTTTGTGTGAACTGGCTCCTTTGGTGAATGTATATTAACAGTGCCATGTATTTGCATACTATGGATTGATATTTCATGCACATTTTCTTGATATGGATCATTAAATGAATAGCAAATGCATATTAAATTTGAAAAATCATTACTATGCATTCACAGTAGCTGCTTTTCAATTCCTCATATCTTTTTTAACACACACACATACACACACACACAATTTGTTCACATCGTAACTGAACAGCTATCAAAACTGAACGCGGCTATAATTTTACTACATGAAAGGAACATTAAAAAATCACAAACAAAATCATTTAAATGCCAAGCTTAATGCAGAACAAATTATCGCTTTTTCAATCATCGCCTTTCAAAGGTCTCTCGGTCCACACACACAGTTATTTAGAAATTCATGCTGATCGATGAAATATTTGGCTACTTGCCTTGATAGTATCGCTGTAACAATAGTGGTGCTAATGAGAATGTTTAACACCCTTTAACAGTATTATAGGAGTGCATATGGTAGTGCCTGCCATCTTTTTTAACTTCTAACATATCATATTAAATAATATCTCACGTATCTAACTGCAACTTGTAAAGTTGCACTGTCCATTTCTCATTGCACGTTATTCTTGACATTACTGGAAAGTAATGAGGGACTGGCATCATATCTAGATTGATTTCAAGAACAGAGCTTCAAATACAGATCATGAAACTTTTGAAACTTTCTTTGCTTGGCATGCAGTACTACGGTATTTAATACCTTATTCTCTGTATAAAGTGGACTGGCAATGAATTCTGACTGTTATACTACTTGATTACAATTGATGCACCTTGATTATATCAACAGTTGCACTGCTATATTATAGATGAGCTGCTTGACTTAGAAAAAAGAAAAAATACATTTGTTTATTTTATTTTATGCTGATTGATGGATGATAGTGAATACTGATGCTTAGAACAGAAATGTTGTTCAAAGGCTTGTCAGAATTGCATTACAGCTTGAATATAGGCCCCATATTGCAAACTCTTATGAAGTGTTAAAACTGAGTAGTCCTGTGGCACCTTAGAGACATATATATATCTATCATGAGCTTTCATGAGCAATCCCCACTTCCTCAGATGAGCTGGAAGCACATCTGAAATATTTAACTTTGCTCATTGTGAGTATGCCCTTTCACTTCAGTGGGATTGAGCACTAAGTTTACATCCTATGTAAAAGTAGAGGGAACCAAATAAGCCACCAGAAAGAAATCTAATATAAGCAACTTGGATGAGGAGAGATGACCTGCCATGCACCAAGTGACTATTGTGTTGATCTTAAGATATTTAAGGACCATATTAGTTCTCATTCAATTTGAGAGGTAAAATGCTATTTCCTTTCCTTTGTACTGAAGCTAGTCAAGTAAACATAAGAATAGGAACTTTCTAGGTTCTAATTCCAAATTCTACTACTGAATTCCTGTGAGGCCTTGGCATTTCACTTAGGCCAAAATTATTCAAAAGCAGTCTTTAATTATGGTTGAATTAGTTTGATGTGTCCAAAATGAGATACCCAAGATTGAAGCACCCACAATTAAAGGATATTTTTGAAAAATAAATTAGACCTTAACCTCTGAATCTGTTTCCCCATCTGTGAAATGGAGCTAATTCTTTTCTATCTCCCAGGGTCTTGTGAAGAATAACAAATAGTGTTTGTACAGCGTGTTCAAAATGTTAAGAGCTATATAAATGCTAAATATTATATTATTATTAGTGGAACAGATATTCCAGTTCTCATATTTTTCAAGAGTTGCTTTCAGGGAATGAAAGCAGGACAGAAGTCTAGAGCAATGTGTTAACACCATTCGATAAAGTGAGCATTTTGAAGGGCAAGTTATTTCTGTAAATAGGGCAAAAGTACTGCAGTTTTTCTTTACCCCTGTACCTTCAGGAATTACTTGAAGAGGAGAGAACTGTTGTAAAATATGTGAAGTGAAATAAGACAGTTTTATTAAGTTAGTTTTGACTGGAAGGGTTGTTGTGGACTGATGTAATGTCCTTATTCTTGGAATAATTTTTGTTAGTTTCTTTGATTTTTTGTTTTACTGCAAACTAGCATGAATGACATTTTAAAGAAAGGACAAGTATTGTACTGGTAACCTACGTATTTTACACTTGAAAGCAGAGATCATATCTGATCACAAATTTTAGTTGCATCTGATTTGTAGATGCTGAATACAGTCTCACATGAGGCAATTCTTGTTCAGATGCTTAAGAGTAAAGATATTAAATAGATTGTATTGTTTTCACTGGTACGAACAGTGTGGGGAAATAAAAAGGACTTAAGTGTTGGAAATGTCACTATCCACAAATCCTTATGCATTTTATCTATCATCTGAAAATCTTTAATGCCCATAATTCAGGAAGCCATCAAAGATTTAATTAACTATTGTGACAGCTATCACTTCAGAATTATCTTTGTGTATCACTAACCATTGTTCTGTTTCCTGTATTTCAATATATGGAATAGATAAGTCAGCTGCTATCCTGTACAGTATCTGAACACATCTGGTAGGAATACACCATGTTTAAATTGCTACTAAATATAAGCTATTGAATGATCTTAAGGTGTTGAATGAACACCAGAAATGTGTTTTAGCGAAGTTATGTGAATTTTAGTGTCAGTGTTTTTCTTACATTCAATAACTTCTTAAATCAAGTCTCATTCAAATATCTTGAAGTCCCCATTTCATTCTCCAATGGCACGTATTCAGGAAGCTTGATAAATGTGTTGATTTTCAAACATAGCTATTATGATTTTAAGTATACAAATCAATCTCTGTTAAAAAATAAAAGCATCTATAAAGTATAGACCCTTGTGTATTTTCTGTTCTCTTTGAGCTAGAGAGAGGCTGGGGTGTCAGTTTATTTAGAGGACTCACTTATAAAGCATCCTGAATAAGTGCTTGAGACAGAAACTCAAATTTATAAAAGTAGATTGTGGATAAAGAATTACACATTTTAAATGTTGTAACAGTTATTTAATGGTCTAATGTTACTCTTTGCTGTAAATTTAAATATTTATACATTTTTGTAGAATAAAAATATACCAGTTTAGTTTTCTTCTGGTGTATGTTCTCTTTTTATAAATATACAGTTATGTCTTTCCTGTTCAATTGATGATCTATATTATGAACTAGACTGTTATGTTCAAATACATAGAATTTTATTGAAGCTCCCTTACCCACATTCTAAATTTGCACAGAAATATCCAGAGTGGCTATTGGTAGCATGGTGTACAATAGAGAAGTGCATAGGAACTGTCCAGTCACAAATGGCCAGCACCTTACATGTGGTACTAACCAAAACCTCAGTCCTGGAAGCTGAACTATATGGAGCTCTACTGTTATTAGCAGAGCTCAGCTCAAGGAGGTTCTGCTTACAGGACCTAAGTACAGCAAATTCTTCCCTATATGGTCCATGAATAAAATTACAATAGAACTAGTATGGTCAGGTGTCTGGTTTTCAGCCAAATACCTTGGACTCTCCCATGTCTTCCGCAGCCCATGAAAATGAAAGTGGAGGAGAGTGAGTGATGGAGGGAGGGGAGATGGAGTGAGTGAGGTGGGGCCTCAGAGAAGAGCCTCTTCTGTAAAGTCATGATGTTGGCAACTCTAAGTAGCACCAAAAGAAAGGAACATATACAAATGGATGGGTTGGTGTCATAAAGGCCAATTCTTAATAGATCAACTTCCCTAAATTCAAGTTGCATGATACATCCTGTTCATGTATTTAATCAAATGTACACTTTTCAAAAACTCTGTTAATGGGAAGGAAATAGTTTTCATCCAAATTCATGTGTTGTTTCTCATTTCTTTTAAAAAAGGACTAAAGGGACCAAGCTGGACAATCTTATGCTGCAATCACGATTGCTGATTCATGAGGCTTTTCATCCATAGCTCATAACAATACTCTCTGATTACAGAGAAATGAGGGAAATCTGGAATCATTTTATACTTAAAGTAACAGATATTCAGTATAATCTATGTTAATGACAAGAGGTAAAAAATGTTGGATGGTGCAGTGACAAAATAATTTCTAGTAAGAGGCAAAGAGAGAGGCTATCAGAAAAATAAAGAATTTGTGAATAAAATTAACATTAAATCCATCCCAGGAGACCAGGAGAGGAAGAATATTCATTCAGTTAAAGTTATCCTACTTCAGTAGAGAAAGTGATTCATAATAAATTTCAGGAAGAATAGTGGCAAGCCATTTTTAGATTATTTTGAATTCTATTGTAAATTCTAATTGCTTGATTATCTCAGATTTCTCTGTTAACCTCGTGAAATACCAAGGGTAAGTTATACTTTTATTTTTTTATTTATTTAGCTTTGGTCTGCAATTCTTTGAGTAATTTATACAGCACTGCTGAAGATTTTTTTAATAGCGGCAATTTCAGAGACATTTAACAAAAAATTCTTTCAAACTCTCCCTTTGTAGTGTAATATATTGTACTGATTTCTTCTTAGCTTGTTAATTAGAATGATAAACTATCTCCATGAATGCTGGCACTCTTACCTATGCAAATAAAGAGGCAGAAATCTCTT